AAAAGCAATAGCATCACAAATCATTAAACATCAATATCAATACATCACTACATCAATATAACAAATCCATCAGGTCTCATCAATGTAATCAAACTCGTTATCCGATATTCCGTGTTCCGATAGTCAGTCAATCAATCACACTGCATAGTCAAATGCCTGTTCAAACAGCCAGGTCTTTACTTTCCTCCGGAATGCCAGCAAGGAGGGGGTCGATCTAATATCTGCAGGAAGGGCGTTCCACAGCTGAGGGGCCACCACTGAGAAGGCCCTGTCTCTCGTCCCCGCCAGGTGTGCTTGTGAAGCCGGCGGGATCGAGAGCAGGGCCTCCCCAGACGATCTTAATGTCCTAACTGGTTCATAGGAGGAGACGCGTTCGGACAGGTAGGTCGGGCCAGAACCGTTAAGGGCTTTAAAGGCTAAAGCCAGCACTTTGAATTGTGCCCGGTAGCAAATTGGCAGCCAGTGGAGCTGGCGCAGCAGTGGAGTGGTGTGCTCCCTGAGTGCCGCTCCTGTTAGCATCCTGGCTGCCGATCGTTGGACCATTTGAAGCTTCCGAGCAGTCTTCACGTTGCATTGTGAAACCTTCCACATTTGTACTTGTCAGGCTCTTCCCCTCCCAGCTACTGAGAGACTAAGAAAAAACCAAAGTCAAATCAAAGGGCCATGTCACATCTGCCTATTTTCTCTGTATGGTGGCAACCCCCTTATTAAGAAATTCATTATGCAGTCAAAGGGCAGGCCTGCAGTTACAGGAGGAGGAAAAAATTAAGACACTCCCTCTCTGCAAATAAGAAGTCAGCCCCTCCATGAAAGTATCCATCAGTCCTCAAATTATAGCAGTTCAATAACTTTTTCAATTCATCATTCCATAGTAAAGTTTAGACATCCAATGGAAATGGGCAGGCAAACACAACAAATGTAATAGTTCTTAATGTGAGCCATTTTTAGTGTCTCATGTTCTGAAAGAATAGGGACCTTATCAGAAAGGCCTGGCAAAGCATCTCGCTTCCCTGGACTTTTGTGAGGAAAGAGGGAGCAGCGGGGTGAATCTGTCGCTCTGCGTGTAGCTCGCAGCAACACTTTCCCCATCACATGGGGAAAGCATTGCCATTGTGGGAAGGCCCAGTGGGGATGGAAGCACCTTGTTGGGATAGAAGCTTGTTGGGATAGAAGCATCTGGTGATGCTTTCACCCCGGTTGGAAGCGTGGCCTATGCCGGATGTCACACAACATTGTGTGATGTCTGGCATCGGTCTGTGCCCCAGATGGGGTGAAAGCATCTTAGGATGCTAAAATCATCCCTTCTGATGCTGTAGGACTGAAGGAAAATTTCATGAGGGTGCAGAAGTTGTATTTCAGGGGAGCAATGTCCTCATTTTAGCTCATCTCTATCCGAGGTTAACCTTTAGAGCAGGAATGTCTTGATTAGAATAGTCAAGAAGTAATACTTCATCAGAGTTTGGAAAAATGGCTCTTTTTTTGGACCACAGCATTTCCCAAACTTCGTTGATGTTGACTTGGGATAACACTTGGATGTTTGTATTTACATACATTTAAGGTGGGAGACATCAATCTCCTCTTAGTAAAAGCAATTCAGAGGTCCAATGTATTGACAGCATCTGTCTCATGGTTCAAAAAATCAGTCCTAAGTTTTTTGAATGACCATTTGCTCTTCTGGCTATGTTTTGAATATTCTATTGTGAGCCAATATTCAAAGCAGAGCCAGTGGTTCCCTACTGAAATTACCAGAGACTTAACTCCTGTTGAAATACCAAACAATACTGGAAGGAACAGAGAAGAACTGATTACCTGAGGAACAAACACCGAAACAAGGAAACACTATCCAGGATACCTTGTAGTAACCTCTATGACCTCTTAGAACTCTTCTCTGATATTAGTACAACTTCTTATGTAACAAACGGTCCTCCAAGAAACTTAGATTGATTTTTTGAACCATCAGACAGATCCTGTCAATACATTGGACCTCTGAATTGCCTTTACTAAGAGGAAATAGATGTCTTCCACCTTAAATTTATGTAAATACAGACATTTACTTGTAATAGAGATAAGAATTGTATTTGAATGTTGTATATATTAAAAAAGCTTTTACATAACAGCATATTTGATGTTTCAATAATTAACAATAACATACTATTTCCTATAGGATTTCCAGAACGAACTTCAATGATGTTTACAGATATCTAATAGCCATTTTGCAATAGAGCTTTTCTTTTGTACATTTCCTATGTACTCTGTTATATAGATATCTGTGCTCTAAGTATATTGGGATGACATTTCCAAACTCTGTATTTAACAGTCTGTTAGACAAGAATAATAGATTGGACCTTATATCCTTAATCATCATTTTGAGGCAGATCTGAAAGCAACCCAAAACTCTACAGTTATTTTGAAAGTTAACAATTGCCCCGGAGGATTGGGACACATCTATGGCTATGTCATCCATTGGTTATCCTATTGTCCTCTCTTAGCAGAGAAAACATGCTCTTCCCCATGATGTTGGTTACTGGAGCCTAGCGGTTCCAATCTCAGTGAGGCAATTAATCCACTTTAGGTCTGAGTCTAAACTTCAAAGGAACTATCCAAGGTGCTGAATCTAGACCTTGAGACTAGATTTAGCACTATGTATAGCTTCTTTAATTCTCAAGTAGATTCACAAACCCACTGATCTGAGAGCTATCAGATGCTGCTTCTTTTCATATAAATAAAACAAAGTCCACATATAGAGGGGATGGATTATGAAGCAAAACNATGCAGCACTGGAGACCCTACAAAATCATTAAATCCATAGCAAATACCCTCCCCCCCAAACTGTTCTGCACTAATAAGAAAACCTCTGAGTGGCCAAGAAAATGGGCAAAACAACTTGGGATAACATGTGACATAAACGCTCGTATGTTTCGTCCCAGGCTGTTTGGAGAATTTAATTAGTGAGGCCTGCATTAGACAGAGGTGTGAGTGTTGCGATGGAAATTTCCAGCAGTTGCTTCTCTGAGCTTGGAGGGTGAGGACTGTTTATTTTGGAGGAACACGGCAAATTGCAGTCACTCCAAGCTAATTTAAACTTGTCTGGCTGGAGTTTGGGGTGACTTAACCTGTTTGGATGGACCTCATACTCCATTAAATTGCCTGTCCTCCCACGTTTTTCTGCCGCCAGAAGTCCTTTTTACCCTTTTCCATCAGGCCTGTACAATTTTCCATATGTTACTTCCAAAGCGCATGTTTTCACCTCCCTCTGTCTTCTTCCTTCACACCAAAGGGAGAATTCTGGCACTTTCACAAACCTCATTTCCCTGCTGTTTAAAACATCACAGAGCAAATTCTGCTTATCTATATCTCCCAGAAATTCAATCCAGACAATGTTGAATATTAAGGGGCATCTGCACCACACAATTAATGTCCTGGTAATGCCTCGCAAGGTGCTTTACTCGCAAGTAGGCCGCGCGGGGCTGCTCCTCCCTTGGCAGGCTCACACTATCCGTCAGGCCCGATGGGCAGCATGAGCCAGACAAGGGAGGCTGCCCCGGCGCTCCATGCAGTCATGCCGACCACATGACCTTGGAGGTGTCTATGGACAACGCCGGCTCTTCAACTTAGAAATGCAGATGAGCACCACACCCCAGAGTCAGACACGACTGGACTTCATGTCAGAGGAAAACCTTTAACTAAGAAAATTATGGAAGATCCAGGGTGGGAGAAAGAACTCTTGTCTGTTGGAGTTAGGTATGAATGTTTCAATTGGCCACCTTGATTACCATATCATAACCTGACAGTTTTTAGGGAGAATCCTTTGTTGAGAGGTGATTAGCTGGTCCTGATTGTTTCTTGTCTGGAGTTCCCTTGTGTTTGAGTATTGTTCTTTACTTACAGTTATAATTTTAGAGTTTTTTAAATACTGGTAGCCAGATTTTGTTCAGACTAGAAATAGGGAGATTTCCCATTCTCTGCTCCTGGAATTACTGCCTAAAGAGGGCTAGAAAGAACCCCCTCTAAGGGCCCTTCCACACACCAAAATAAGATAGATGCAATGTGCATAGGATTTTTTTAATTGATTTTTTTTTAAAAAAAACTATAGTCCGGCCCTCCAACGGTCTGAGGGACAGTGAACTGGCCCCTGGCTTAAAAAGTTTGAGGACCCCTGGTTTAACCCATTGCGCCACTTGTTGACGTATGATGACTCCACGAATTTCTTGAGCAAGGAATACTCAAGGGTGCTTTTGCCAGTTCCTTCCCAGACAGAAACTGTGGATTCTGCTAGCAGCAAGCAAGGTTCAAAGATATTTTACTCCTTGGTTTGACTTCAGGTTTTCCTATGGAGGGTGTAATATTCTCCTTGACCCTTAGGTTCCGCCATTCTGGGCACCACAATTCAAGAGAGATATTGACAAGCTGGAAAGTGTCCAGAGGAGGGTGACTAAAATGATCAAGGGTCTGGAGAACAAGCGCTATGAGGAGCGGCTTAAAGAGCCAGGCATGTTTAGCCTGAAGAAGAGAAGGCTGAGAGGAGATATGATAGCCATGTATAAATATGTGAGAGGAAGCCACAAGGAGGAGGGAGCAAGCTTGTTTTCTGCTTCCTTGGAGACTAGGACGCGGAACAATGGCTTCAAACTACAAGAAAGGAGATTCCATCTGAACATTAGGAAGAACTTCCTGACTGTGAGAGCCATTCAGCAGTGGAACTCTCTGCCGGAGTGTGATGGAGGCTCCTTCTTTGGAAGCTTTTAAGCAGAGGCTGGATGGCCATTTGTCAGGGGTGATTTGAATGCAATATTCCTGCTTCTTGGCAGGGGGTTGGACTGGATGGCCCATGAGGTCTCTTCCAACTCTTTGATTCTATGATTCTATGAAAACCACCGTCAGCCCAAGATGCTAAAACCAAAGAAAGTCTGCTCATGTTTTTGCCCTGCTTTTAAAAGAAGCTCCTGCATAATAGATCAAGGAAATGGGGTAAAGAAATGAATAATTGAAGATTAATTGCAGGTGATTCGGAGTAATCTGAGACTGACGAGGGCTATCTTTTGATGGATGAGAGACTGAAAGAGGAGATAGAGGGAGATCTGTCTTCCATGTCATAGAGGTTAGCAAGGTCTGCAGAAGAAGCAGGAAGTGGAAGGAACGCGCTGGTGCGGAGAGATGTGTCAGTCTGGAAGGAGCTAACAGCATCGCACCTGGCCTCTGGTTCCTTTCTCATGCAGTGACATGGAGCAATGGATTATGGATTGGCAAGGAATGTACAGTTTAGGAGTCTGCTGAAAATCATCTACATCCTTCCAACTGTGGCTTATGGTGAGTAGCAGGCGAGCCGTCTTGCTAGGCCAACTGTGGGGACAAGAAGTATATGTGTGTATGCATTTGTGTGCGAGCATTGGGGCTGGAAAAATATTTTATTAGATTTGACAGTTTCTGTAAAAGTAGAATTTCCTCACCACTTTTCCTCACCTTGAAAATTGACACTTCTGCAAAGCTTACAGGACATTGTGAAGAAATCAGTATGCATTTTTAAAAATTCAAGCAACTAAAAATCTGATCCATACAAGCAAATATGTACCACAAATATACTTAAGTTAATGGCAGGAAATTGGTAAAAACGCATAACTAAATGAACTGCTAGGTTGGCAGAAGCTAGGGCTGACAGCGGAAGCTCACGCCGCTCCCCGGAATCGAACACATACATACAATGTATTTCTACCTAACACAGAATTATGTGCTAGGAATGGTTAGGTACAATCAGAATCTTCATAATTCGGAATACAGTTGGAAGAATTACCTTTTTGAAGCGATTTCGAAGTTTTTAAGAAAACAGGAAGTCCCTTTGCCCTTCCGAAGCTTTTTTCGCCATTTTTGTTACGACTCATGAAGTGAGTCAGAAATGATTCAGCTTTTTCCCGCTTCTGGTCCCTGGCCTCGGCTCAAGCCAGAGAAGCCAGTTTTAAAGCCAGAGAAGCCAGTTTTAAACCAGAGAAGGAAGGAATTTCCTCCACTTGCTTTTCCACACTTCTGGTCCCTGGCCTCAGCTCAAGCCAGAGAAACCAGTTTTAAACAAGCCAGAAAAGGAGGAAATTTCCCTGGCCTTGCGGGGTTGCGTCAACGGGCCGTGACGAAGCAGTTTTCTAGCCTAGAGAAGGCCTATTTTAACACCTAGGTAGAAGGAAGAAAATTGCATCCATCTTGCTTTCCCAGCTTCTGCGTCGTCTTGGCGCGCTGCTCTGGGTCTCAAGTCCAGAGTAAGCCATTTTAAATCGGGAAAAAAAGAAAATGCAAAACTAGGAAGATTTTGTCTAGGGCTCCTCTCGGCTGCAAGCTCGGTAGAACCAGTTCTTAAGCATAGCAGGCCTATTTTAAAGAAATAAAGAAAGGAAGGTATTTCATACATTTGCTTCTTACCCGGCTTCTGTCCTTGGCCTCTTTTCGCGGCTGTCAATGCCTAGAGAAGCCGGGGTTAACATTACCAGAAAAGGAAGGATTCTCCGGCCTATCGAGCTGCAAGTCGAGATAGAAAGGCCAGTTTAAAGCGCAGAGTAGCCTATCTTGCATAAGCCAGACTTTACAGGTAAGGAATTTCAGTCTTTGGCTTTCCCCTGTGCTTCTTGTCTATCTTAGGCTCTCAGCTCAACGCCTATAGGACAAACGCAGTTTTTAAATCGCAGAACAGTAATGAAATTTCCTCCTGCCTACCACGGGCTCAAGGGCCACGGGAGCTCATTTTTAAAGACAGAGTAAGCCTGATTTTAAAGCCGGGCGAGAAGGAAGGAATATTGGTCAATCCATTTGGCTTTCCCTCGCTGGCTTCTGGTCGCTTGGCCTCGGCTTCAAAGCACAAGAAACTGCCTAGTTTTTTAAAAGTCGGCAGAAGAAGGAAGGATTTCTGCTCTTCGCTCTAAGTCCATGTTTAGAAGGGCCAGTTTTTAAAGCCAGAGAAGGGCCTATTTCTCAAACCAGAGAAGGAAGGGAATTTCATCCAATTGCGCTCTTTTCTTACCTTCCCCGCTTCTAGTCCCTGGTCTCGCTCAAGCCAGAGAAGCCCGTTTTAAAACCAGAGAAGGAAGGAATTTCCTGGCCTCGGCTCAAGCCAGAGAAGCCAGTTTTTAGAAGGCAAGGAAGGCCAATTTTACAACGGTTCAGGAGAAGAATGGATTTCACGACCTTTGGCTTATCCCGCAGCTTCTGGTGCCTTGGCCTCAGGCTCAACGCAGTAGACAGCGGCAGTTTTACAAAACCCAGTTAGAAGAAGTGAATTTCTCCTGGCCTCGGCTCAAGGGCTCAGAGAAAACTTCCTAGTTTATACGCAAAGCCTCAGAGAGACCTAATCTTTAAAAAAATTCGCATAGGATTATAATGGAACAGAAGTAATTTTCATCTGGGCATATGCTTATCGCGCGCTTCTGGTGCAGTCTTTGCTCTTCGGTCTCAAGCCGAGAAGCCATTTTTAACACAGAGAAGGTAGGAATTGTCTCTGGCCCCTCTGGGCCATCTTCGCCAGGAGAAGCCTCAGTTTTAAGTCCAGGAGAAGCCAATTTTCAACGTAGAGAGGAAGGAGATTTCACCCATTTGCCTTTCCCCGCTTCTGGTCCTTGGCCTCGGCTCAAGCCAGAGAAGCCAGTTTTAAACCAGAAAAGGAAGGAATTTCCTGGCCTCGGCTCAAGCCAGAGAAGCCAGTTTTAAAGCCAGAGAAGCCTATTTTAAACCAGAGAAGGAAGGAATTTCATCCATTTGCCTTTCCCCGCTTCTGGTCCTTGGCCTCGGCTCAAGCCAGAGAAGCCAGTTTTAAACCAGAAAAGGAAGGAATTTCCTGGCCTCGGCTCAAGCCAGAGAAGCCAGTTTTAAAGCCAGAGAAGCCAGTTTTAAACCAGAGAAGGAAGGAATTTCCTCCGTTTGCTTTTCCCTGCTTCTGGTCCTTGGCCTCGGCTCAAGCCAGAGAAGCCAGTTTTAAACCAGAGAAGGAAGGAATTTCCTGGCCTCGGCTCAAGCCAGAGAAGCCAGTTTTAAAGCCAGAGAAGCCAGTTTTAAACCAGAGAAGGAAGGAATTTCATCCATTTGCTTTTCCCCGCTTCTGGTCCTTGGCCTTGGCTCAAGCCAGAGAAGCCAGTTTTAAACCAGAAAAGGAAGGAATTTCCTGGCCTCGGATCAAGCCAGAGAAGCCAGTTTTAAAGCCAGAAAAGCCAGTTTTAAACCAGAGAAGGAAGGAATGTCATCTGTTTGCTTTTCCCCGCTTCTGGTCCTTGGCCTCGGCTCAAGCCAGAGAAGCCAGTTTTAAACCAGAAGAGGAAGGAATTTCCTGGCCTCGGCTCAAGCCAGAGAAGCCTGTTTTAAACCAGAGAAGGAAGGAATTTCTTCTGCTTGCTTTTCCCTGCTTCTGGAGTAAAACAACTACTTTCAAAGTAAAGACCACCCAATGAAACAGGAAATAACACTTTCAAACCATTAAGGAAGGATTTGGAAGTCTCAGAAGTTTCTAAAAGTTTTGAACATTTTTTTCCTGTGAAAATCGGAATTGACTTTAGAATCGAACCACCAGCACCCCCTACATCTGAAATGAGTTTTGAACCATTTTTTTTGATCAAACAAGCCTAGTATGCACATATCAATGCCAGAAGATCAAGAACCCCAAATCTTGTAATCCAGTATGGTGGAAGTGAGCAAAATTCACTTCCACCATACTGGCCTTATTCACACTACACAATTATTACAGTATGGTTTCACGAGACATTCTGTGGAATCTTAGGGTTTTTCTGAGAATTCTCTAAACTGCAAATCCCAGCATGTCGTAGGACAAGGTAATGTCAGTAAAAGTGGCAATAGAATGCTATAACTGTGAAATCTGAAATGACCCATGGGAGTATCTTCAACTTGGTCAATGAAACGGTTGGCTTTTCTTTCAGGTCAGATGCTCCCTTTGGAAGATACAAAGTATGAGGAGCAAGTGGTCAAGGGGGTCCGTGATCGCTCGGTCCTGCTGGCCTGTGGGGACGTCGTCTCGCCAATGATTGTCTTCTGGAGTTTCACCAGGCTGGGCTCGCTCATCCCCAGAGCTGTGGCCATCAGTAATGGCCTAGACTCCAAGGTGGAGAAGTCCTCTGCGGTTCTAGGGGATGTGACCTTAAGGAACAGCACCCTGGAGATAGAGAACCTGAAGAAGGCAGCGGAAGGGCACTTCATGTGCCAAGTGATGTACGAAGAGGAAGGGGAGATCAAAGTGGCTTATTTCTATATTGAGCTCATTGTTTTGAGTAAGTATGGTGGAGGGCCTGAGCTTAGATGAAGATACATTAAAACCTTAGTTGCAGAGGCCTTCATTACAAATGTATTGTTGCAATTAATTATTTAAAACTTGACATTCAGTTAGCAGTGGTTCTCAACCTGTGGGTCCCCAGGTGTTTTGGCCTACAATTCCCAGAAATCCCAGCCAGTTCACCACCTGTAAGGATTTCTGGGAGTTGAAGGCCAAAACATCTGGGGACCCACATGTTGAGAACCACTGAGTTAAAGCACATGGTATTTTGGGGGACTCACATTCCAAGGTTCTAATCTGTATAGTCAGTCCTTCATAGTCATTGGAGTTAGGGATACAAAATCCCATGAAAGTGAACAATTGCTATGGATAAAGAAATAGCTATTTTTTTTTGTCTGACAGAGTCCCTCACTAGGAAGTTCTAGGTCTTCCCGCATGACTCTATGGTCAATTTTTGCTGACAGATGAACAGAATTGCATCAAAGGACCTAGAGACTCCTAAAGAGAGGTTCTCTCTAGAAATCTCTAGGCCTTCCAGCATAACTGGAGGAACTTAACAATAGAGTCAAATTGTAGACTATAGAGCAGTGGTTCCCAACCTTGTTTTTGACCAGGAACCATAGAATCATAGAATCATAGAGTTGGAAGAGACCTCATGGCCATTCAGTCCAACCCCCTGCTAAGAAGCAGGAAAATTGCATTCAAAGCACCCCCGACAGATGACCATCCAGCCTCTGTTTAAAAGCTTTCAAAGAAGAATGCTCTACCACACTCCGGGGCAGAGGGTTCCACTGCTGAACGGCTCTCACAGTCAGGAAGTTCTTCCTCATGTTCAGAAGGAATCTCCTCTCTTGTAGTTTGAAGCCATTGTTCCACGTCCTAGTCTCCAGGGAAGCAGAAAACAAGCTTGCTCCCTCCTCCCTGTGGCTTCCTCTCACATATTTATACATGGCTATCATATCTCCTCTTAGCCTTCTCTTCTTCAGGCTAAACATGCCCAGCTCCTTAAGCCGCTCCTCATAGGACTTGTTCTCCAGATCCTTGATAGTTTTAGTCGCCCTCCTCTGGACACATTCCAGCTTGTCAATATCTCTCTTGAATTGCGGTGCCCAGAATTGGACACAATATTCCACATTGGACACAATATTGGACACAATATTCCTCCTATATTATCAGTTTACTTCAATTGTTGCAGATAGAAGTCAAAGTGCAGAAATAATTTGCAACCGTCCAATGAAATAAGAAGAGGTGGGCTCTTGCTCTTTCAAGATAGTGATAGTGCTATCTGTCTTGGGTGGATTTTGATGTTATAGGCCCCTTCTACACTGCCCTATATCCCAGGATCTGATCCCAGATTGTGTGATTATGCCAAATTATCTGTCAGTGGAAATTCATATATTCCAGTTCAAAGCAAATTACAAGGGTTGAATGAAAAGTAATGCCTGTAGCCATGGGGGGGGGGCGCTTGAGGGGATTCAGCGCCCCCCCCCCCAAATTCTCAGGATACTCCATGAGAAGGCCTTACTGGTACATTATTTAAACTGCTATGTTTATTCATATCATGATCTGATCACCATGCTCAATATATGCCATATGCATGGGGGTATTGGGATAATGATACAAAAGGTTTGCTAGGGTAGATCCTGAGCCCCCCCAAACCAAACTCAGCCCCCCCCCCTCCAAATTAAATTCAGCCCCCCTCCCCCCGAATCAAAATCCTGGCTATGGGCCTGCCTCCAACTTTGTAACTCCTCAACAGATGGTAGTACTGGTGTGCGGCAGGTACTGGCTTGTTCAGTAGACTCTCCTCTACAGTTCCATTTTGGCAGGAAGCCTTAGCATTGAACAGTTGTGTTGTTAAAGTGCAATGTATGGGACTCTGCACAGACATTCAATGCAACTTAAACAACTTGCAGTCATTGAATTCTTGACAGCAGAAGGTGTCACCCCAAAGGAGATTCATTAGAGAATGCAAGCTGTTTATTGTGATTGTGTTGATGTGAGTGCTGTGTGTCGTTGGGCGAGTAAGTTTAAAGACCAACCTGGACACAGCATATTATTTGAGAACACAGAAATGCTGGACCACTCCAACAACCACCATGCCAGACTGCACAGAGAAGCCATTGAAATCCACAAGCATGTGGACAATTTCAACAGAAAGGAGGAAACCATGAAAATGAACAAAATCTGCCTATCAGTATTAAAAAAACTCTAAAATTAAAACAGCACAACAGAGAGGAAACAAACAAAGACATCTAATCACCTCTCAACAAAAGATTGCTCCAGGCTCTGCCAGGCAATCAAATGCTAATCAAGGTGATCAGTTGAAACATTCACACCTAGCTGCAACAGACAAGAGTCCTTTGTCCCACCCTGGTCATTCCACAGATATATAAACCCTTTTTTCCTAGTTCCAACAGACCTCACTACCTCTGAGGATTCTTGCCATAGATGCAGGCGAAACGTCAGGAGAAAATGCCTCTAGAACATGGCCACATAGCCTGAAAAAACCTACAACAACCCAGTGATTCTGGCCATGAAAGCCTTTGACAATACATTAAGTTTAAAGATGTTCAGGTGGGACATCCGACTTGCGTGGCAAACAAAGAGTTGGACGTCCTGTGACAGCAACCACTGAGTTCCACAAGCAAAAGGTTGACAGATTGATTTACGACGATCGTCGTATCACTCAGAGAGAAATTTCAAGCATAATTGGCATTTCACAAGAATGTGTGGGTCACATTATTGCTTTGCTTGGCTATCAGAAGATCTGTGCATGATGGGTTGCGGAAACAGAATGTCGACTTCTTTCGTGACGGCTTCAGAAAACTTGTTCATTGTTGGCAGAAATGTATCCAATTGTCTGGTGATTATGTGGAAAAGTGAATAGTGGTAGTTAAAGAGCACATTCTAAGGATTATTTTTGCATTTCATTTATTAAAATATTCCCATCCAAACCCAAGTAACGAAGGTGGAGGCATTACTTTTCATTCAACCTTCGTAATAGTAATATTCGACTTGTAATTAGTTATTATCTGTGCAAGGCATTAATTTGGAACAGATAGACAAAGACACGATTCAAAGGTGGAGGTATTACTTTTCATTCAACCCTCGTATCAGATCCTGGGATTAAGGACAGTGTAGAAGGGGCCTTAGTAGAATCCACAAGCACGTCTTTGCCTTAGATTCTGCAGGTACCTGGAAAGAGTACGGGTATGGCCTTAGCTCTACGTTTGGTCTTTCCCAGTCCCTGTTTCAAAGCCCTTCCTACAGATGAATGACTCAACGCCTGTGGAAGACATGCCTGTATTGATGGTTTGCACAGTGAAAGAGGGCACGCCTCCAGTTGAGTTTTCCTGGCAGCGCTACACCAATCGAGACGGTATGGTAGCCATCACAGAAGCAGTCGGTGGTTTCTTGAACCTTACATCTACTAATAGGACTCACATGGGATGGTATACCTGCACAGCCCACAATGAAGTCAATAGCCAAACCAGCGATCAGATGTACCTTGATGTGATCTGTAAGTAACTGGATAGTGGGAACAAATGTTCTGTCCTTTCTGCTCTCGGGAGTCTTCTTGTGTCCCCTTTTGCTAGATCTTAACATGTCAAAGTGCAAATAAGTAAATGCAATGTTGAATTGGATGAGAATTTCTCAATGCTCAGGCAGCAGACTGAATGAAATGGTCCAATATTTAATGTTAGCGTAAAAGCTATCCTAGGCCTCCCTGAACTGGATCAGGGAAGCATCATCGCGAGGGAAAAGTTTAATTCAGATCTGAGTAAAGGTAAAGGTTTCCCCTCAACATTAAGTCTAGTTGTGTCTGACTCTGGGAGGTGGTGCTCATATCCATTTCTACGACAAAGAGCCGGCGTTGTCCATAAACACCTCCTAGGTCATGTGGCCGGCATGACTGCATGGAATGCCTTTACCTTCCTGCCGGAGTGATACCTATTAATCTATTCACATTTGCATGTTTTCCAACTGCTAAGTTGGCATAAGCTGGGGCTAAAAGTGGGAGCTTACCTATATTTATTTATCGTGTCATCAGCAACCATTGTATTACAATTCTAACAGAGCAAAACAAACACAGAGATTAAAAAGAAAAAGAAAGAAAAAGAAAAAAAACCACACAGATTTTGTAAATTTGGTATTTGGTTAAATGTCCTTTGACCAGTATCTGGCCACTTGGAGTGCCTCTGGGGTTGCCGCAAGAAGGTCCTCCATCGTGCATGTGGCAGGGCTCAGGGTGCATTGCAGCAGGTGGTCAGTGGTTTGTTCTTCTCTGCACTCGCATGCCGAGGATTCCACCCTGTAGCCCCATTTCTTCAGATTGGCTCTGCATCTCGTGGTGCCAGAGCGCAATCTGTTCAGCGCCTTCCAAGTCGCCCAGTCTTCTGAGTGCCCAGGGGAGTCTCTCATCTGGTATCACCCATGAATTGAGGTGCTGGGTTTGGGCCTGCCACTTTTGGACTCTCGCTTGCTGGGGTGTTCCAGCGAGTGTCTCTGTAGATCTAAGAAAACTATGTCCTGATTTAAGTCGTTGACGTGCTGGCTGATACCCAAACAGGGGATGAGCTGGAGATGTCTCTGCCTTGGTCCTTTCACTATTGGCTGCTACTTCCCGGCGGATGTCAGGTGGTGCAATATTGGCTAGACAGTATAATTTCTCGTGTTGTAGGGCGCAGACACACCGTGATAATGCGACATGTCTCATTAAGAGCCACATCCACTGTTTTAGCATGGTGAGATGTGTTCCACACTGGGCATGCATACTCAGCAGCAGAGTAGCATAGCGCAAGGGCAGATGTCTTCACTGTGTCTGGTTGTGATCCCCAGGTTGTGCCAGTCAGCTTTCGTATGATGTTTTTTCTAGCGCCCACTTTTTGTTTGATGTTCAGGCAGTGCTTCTTGTAGGTCAGAGCACGGTCCAAAGTGACTCCCAGGTATTTGGGTGCGCTGCAATGCTCCAGTGGGATTCCTTCCCAGGTAATCCTCAGAGCTCGGGATGCTTGTCTGTTCTTAAGGTGAAAGGCGCATGTCTGTGTTTTGGATGGATTAGGGATCAGCTGGTTTTCCCTGTAATAGGCAGTAAGAGCACCTAGAGCTTCGGAGAGCTTCTGTTCTACCATCTCAAAGCTCCCTGCTTGAGCAGTAATGGCACGATCATCAGCATAGATGAAACTCTCTGTCCCTTCTGGCAGTGGCTGGTCATTTGTGTAGATGTTGAACATTGATGGAGCAAGCATGCTCCCCTGAGGCAGGCCGTTCTTCTGTTTCCGCCATCTGCTTCTCTGGCCCTGGAACTCAACAAAAAAGCTCCTGTTTTGTAGCAGGTTTCCTATGAGGCGGGTGAGGTGGTAGTCCTTTGTGATATTATACATTTTTCTCAGGAGGAGGCGGTGGTTCACAGTATCATAGGCTGCTGACAAGTCTATGAAGACAGCTCCTGTGGTCTGCTGCCTTTCAAAGCCATCTTCTATGTGCTGAGTCAGGTTCAGCACTTGCGATGTGCAGCTTTTGCCTTTTCTGAAGCCAGCTTGCTGTGGGATCAGACAGGTCTATATTTTCCATAATTCTATGCAAAATAAGTCTCTCCAGAACTTTGTAGAGGTGGCACAACAGGGAGATTGGTCTGTAGCTTTTTGGGTCATTACGGTCTTTGCCTGGCTTCAAGATGGCGATGACTCTTGCTTTCCTCCAGATTTTGGGGATCTGACAGGATGCAGTGCAGTTGTTCATCAGCTCCAGCAGCCAGCGCCTTGCTTTTGGACCAAAGTTCTTGATTTGTTCCATCCGTAGATCATCCAGGCCAGCTGCTTTGCCATTCTTACATTTATTGAGAGCCATGTCCAATTCAGTAGATGTAAAGGGTTCATGAAGGTTGTTGTTCTCAATCTCTGGTTGTCTGGCTATTGGTTTCTTTCCTACTTTGGTGGCAAGGTTGGGTTTCCCATTCTTCAAGAGTTGGTGTGCTATCTGATCTGCCTTTATGTTGGCATGGGTATTAGTTTGTGAGGGATCGTTGCTCAGCCGTCTCAGCAGCCTCCACGCCTTCTGGCTGCTCCTGCCCATGTCGACCTCTGTGATCAACTTGATCCACTGTTCTTTCTTGGCTTCAGAGATGGAGGACACAATGCTCTGCGCTGCCTGAAGAGTCTGCTCACTAAATGGGTCTTCGTTGTGGAGCCTGTAATAGTTTTCCAACAAGGCAGCTGTTTCAGAGGTAATGCCCTGGAGGTAGTGGGTTCTGCAGCCTCTCGGTATGGAGGCCCGTGAGCAGGTTTTCACGATTTCAATAAAATGGTCGTATTCCTCAGGGATTGGCGCGACCGATGTGATCATGTCATCTAACATGTCTGAGAATTTAGTCCAATCTGCCTTTCTGAAGTTGTATCTTCGTTTAAATCGAACTTCCTGAGGCCTTATTGTTGGGAACAGTTGGCATATTATTGGTCGGTGCTGTGTGTTTGGGATTGGTGGTCCCACTGATTTGGTGCATTGCTGTACGATGCTGTCGCTCACAAATAAGAGGTCTGGGTTATAACCTCGGTGCCATCTCCCGCTGTTGTAGGATGGTGGGAGCTTGCTATCATGGATGAGTGATAGTTTGTGCAGTTCAGACCAGGACAGGACAGCCTCTCCATTTCTGTCCTCTTGGGCATAGCCCCATACATGGCTATGGCTGTTGAAGTCACCAATTACTATCGCCCTTTGGTGCCTGTCAAAGTTCTCGGGGGAGGAGAAGCAGAAATGAGGAGCTTACCTCATTCCCTGGATTCAAACTGCCGACCTTTCAATCAGCAAGTTCAGCAGCTCAGCGGTCTAACCCGCTGCGCCACTGGTGGCAGATCTTGGTACTTTTTGAAATAATAATAATAATAATAATTATTATTATTATTTATACCCTAGGAGCCCCCGGTGGCGCATTGGGTTAAACCCCTGTGCCGGCAGGACTGAAGACTGACAGGTCACAGGTTCGAATCCGGGGAGAGGCGGATGAGCTCCCTCTATCAGCTCCAGCTCCTCAAGCGGGGACATGAGAGAAGCCTCCCATAAGGATGATAAAAACATCAAATCATCCAGGTGTCCCCTGGGCAACGTCCTTGCAGACGGCCAATTCTCTCACACCAGGAGCGACTTGCAGTCACTCCTGACACGATAAAAAAAAATTATACCCTGCCATCATCTCCCCAAAGGGGACTTGGGACAGCTAACATGAGGCCAAGCCCAAAGATACAATGCAACAAAAAAAAATACAGAATGCAGGCAACAAAAAAATCATGTAAAAAATACGTACAGTAGCAAAATAAGATAAATAAAACAAATTAACACAATATAAAATCGAACAGAATGGGCAGGCCAAATGGATGAGGTAAAATGATAAAATCCTGGATGAGGTAGGAAAGAAAATATGTCATGGAGGGGAACCCAAAAAGAATAAACAGAAAGTATTGTGCTAGAAAGTATTGTGTTAGATCAGTGGTTCTCAACCTACCTAATGCCGTGACCCTTTAATACAATTCTCATGTTGTGGTGACCCCCAACCATAACATTTTGGTTGTGACTTCACAACTGTAATTTTGCTGCTCTTACGAATCATCACGTAAGTATCTGCTATGCAGGATGTATTTTCATTTACTGGACCAAATTCAGCACAAATGCCTGATATGCCCAAATTTGAATTCTAATGGGATTGAAGGGGAGATTGATGCTGTCATTTGGGAGTTGTAGTTGCTGAGATTCATAGTTCATATACAATCAAAGAGCATGTTGAACTCCACCAATGACTGAATTGAACCAGTCTTGGCACACAGAACTCCTATGACCAACAGTAAATACTGGAAGGGTTTGATAGGCATTGACCTTGAGTTTTGGAGTTGTAGTTCACCTTTATCCAGAGAGCACTGTGGACTCAAACAATGATGGATCTGGACCAAACTTGGCACAAATACTCAACATGCCCAAATGTGAATACTGATGGAGTTTGGGGAAAATAGACATTGACATTTGGGAGTTGTAGTTACTGGGATTTATAGTTCACTTACAATCAAAGAGCATTCTGAACTCCAACAATGAGAGAATTGGGCTAAACTTCCTACACAGAACCCCCATGACCATTCGAAAATACTGTGTTTTCTGATGGTCTTTGGCGACCCCTCTGATACCCCCTCGCGACCCCCCCAGGGGTCCCGACCCCCAGGTTGAGAAACACTGTGTTAGATATTATTCATTACTCTAAGTTAGACAAGAACAGACAAGATAAAGGCTCCAAATGCCTCACATAGCCTTCCAAAATTAAGTAACTACAAATAATTAGAATTTTGTTTCTGAACAAAAAAAATCACTATTATCAATGAATCCTCTGATTTGCAAAAATAGTATTGCTATGCTGTTGACTCCTTATCCCATAAACATTTTAGAAGTTGATGTCATTGACTGAGATCCTGCATCAGGAGACACGTATGCAGCAAAAAGCTATGTCTTTCAATGCCAGCCCTTCAAATTTCACCATAAATA